TGAAGTGGTAAGGTAAAGGTAAAGGGACCGCTGACCATTAGGTCCAGTTGTGGCCGACTCTGGGGTTGCGGTGCTCATCTCGCTTTATTGGCCAAGGGAACCGGCGTACAGCTTCTGGGTCATGTGGCCAGCATGACTAAGCCGCTTCTGGCGAACCAGAGCAGCGCACGGAAACGCTGTTTACCTTCCCACCAGAGCGGTACCTATTTATCTACTTGCACTTTGACGTGCTTTCGAACTGCTAGGTTGGCAGGAGCTGGGACCAAGCAACGGGAGCTCACCCTGTCGTGGGGATTCGAACCGCTGACCTTCTGATCGGCAAGTCCTAGGCTCTGTGGTTTAACCCATAGCGCCACCCGCGTCCCCTATACCTGAAGTGGTACCGTCCTGCAGGTATCAACAACTTTTGGGGGAAATTGTAAAAAAACAACAACACAACAACTTTGGTCGGCCCTCACGCATGTTCACTTCATCAAATCTGGCCCTCTTTGAAAAAAGTTTGGGCACCCCTGACCTAGCCCAAGCATTGTTTACCTTGCCTGGCAGTGGCCCTCCAAAGGTTCAGGTGGAGGTTTTCCTAGCCCTGCTTCCCAAATTCCTTCTAATGGACATGCCAGGAACTAACCCTGGGACCTTGTGCACACAGAGTCTGTGGTTTTCTGCTGAACTACAGCATCTCCTATGTATGAGCATCAAATGATGAAGCTGTCTTCTACCAACTGCAGTCTGTGTTCATCTCTAGCCCTCTGTTGTTTGCTTGAGCAGCTCTTTCTGCACTCTCTGGCTGTGTGTTGAACCACACACAAGCTAGGAGCCAATGACCTATGTAGTCTAATATCCTGTTCCCACAGTGGCTGACCAGATGCCTGGGGGAAACCTGCAAGCCCAGGACCCAAGCCCAGGAACACCCTCTCCTCCTTTGGTTTCTGGAAACTGGTATTTAGAGGCGTTACTGCCTCAATCTTTGTTATTCCCTCCCACAGAGGGAGGGCAGGGACTCCAGACTAATTTTTTTACACTATAAGTACATCCATCCCTTTTCTTCCTTGTGCAAAACTTGGGTTTTTGTTTTTCACGCCCAGAGTGCTGTATTTTTCGCTCTATAGGACGCACTTTTTCCCCTTCAAAAATGAAGGGGAAATGTGTGTGCGTCCTATGGAGCGAAGACACCATAGTCCCGCGACCCTCTCCCGGCTGGAGAGGTGACGCGCGGCTATGGCAGGAGCCTCTCCACTGCGCCTTTCCGCTGCTCCCTGACCTGCTCTTTGGGGCTGGTGGTGGGCTTCCCCCCGCCAGCCCCAAAGAGCAGGTTGAAAGGAACCTGAAGCCTGGAGAGCGAGAGGGGTCAGTGCACACCGACCCCTCTCGCCCTCCAGGCTTCCAAGGTAGCTTCCTGAACGCACCTTAAACGGCACCTTCTTTTAGAGTGGGAAAACAAGAGGGGGAAAGTTCTCCCCCTCTCTGCGCAGCGCCTCCTGCCGCTTCGCTGAAGGGGCGCTGGGCAGAGAGGGGGAGAATTTTTTTCCCTTGTTCTCCCCCCTCTAAAACAAAGTGCGTCCTATTGTCCGGTGCGTCCTATGGTGCGAAAAACACGGTAGACATGACGCTGGTGGTACTTGAGGCTTCCTTCCCTGCCCCCAACCTTTCAGATATTCTTGTTGTTTTTAGATTGTCCTGCCTGGATGGTGCCAGTCATACCAAACGGAAAGCATCCTCGGGTGCCCACCATTGCCACACCGCAATGACGACAATGCTGCCTTATGTGCCTCCACTGCCGGCACAAAGCACTCACTGTTAATTGTAGTAGCTGATGGCTGGTGTTAAGGATTTCACTTAAACAGACAAGAGCAAAGGAACTGACCATTAAGGGCTCTTTCTCCCCCTAAGCTCACTCTGGCAAAGCGGCTGTTTTGTTAGAAAACAGTGTGTTGGGCTTTCCCTAAGCACCTTGACAGGTTTCTAATTGTCTTTCTCTCCTACAAGAATGCCTTCCCTCCTCTGTTACATAAATAACATTTGCGGTTCAGTTAGAACCAGGCCCTCGCTTTCTTCAGTAAGTTTCCTGCTTTGTTGCTCATCGGAACAAGTTAGTTTTACTTCTTGGTACTGGAAACCTCAATCTGGGACCTGCTGCGAGGAGAGATAGAAACAGAACCAAGTATAAAAGGTAGACATACACTTACCTGGAGGAGAGGTCAGCGAAGGATTTGACTTAGGAGGTCTGTGATTCGCTAGCTAACCGCACCTCAATATTTGTCTGCCTTACAGTGGCGAACTCTAGATTCTGGAGTCTAGAAGGTGGGGATGTTTTTATGCATTGAAAGTGAATGTGCCTCTGAAACATGGTGTTTAGTTCTCCATTTAGAGAACTAAACCACAGAGATGACACATTTCCTTTCTGGTGTAAGTACCCCGTGACGTGTTAAGAGGGAGGGAGGGAGGGAGAACCACCATCTTGCCTAAATTAGACCTCCAGATTGACGGATAAAGCATTTGCTTTAAGGCACGCCTGTTTCTCCAAGCAGCTGAGTACACTGCCACGGTCATCTTTTTCCCTTTTCTTTTTATGTAAATCGATTTGGTGGGGAAGTTGATTTATTGCAGGTTCCTAGAGCCTGTGTGTTGAGTCAACTCTTGAGTATGGAGGCAAAGATTCGCTGTACAGTTTATTGAGATCTGTCTGACACTCAGACTTCCATGTAAATTATCGGTGTGTGTTTCTTTCCAGGGCTGCTTTCACATTTATTTTAATTGCCTGTAGGGTAATTACTTTTTTTAGCTGGCTAAAGCTGATGGGAGGTTTGGCCAAGCAACACCTGGAGGGCCACAATTTCCTCATTATATTTCGTAAAACTACAGAGAGTTCATACTTTGGGCTAAGGGCTTCATTCTAGCCGTTTGTACACGGCACAGTTGAACAAATAATGGTGGTGATCTTCCACTACTTCAGGATTAGTGTACCTGTTACGCCTCCCCAAGGAATTAGATTCATTGAGTAATATCTGCAGCATATACATCTATCGCGCTCGGCATTTTAAGACGTTCTGCTGGAACGACTTTTCCTCCTGAAACAACAGCAAAGCTTTTAATTAAGTGTACGACTGCTTTACATGGGCTTGTTTGGTGTCCTGAAAGCATCTAAATGCCTCCACTCCTGTCCCTTCATCTCCTGCTATTCATTTGAGCGCTCTTAGACACATCCAATTAAGCAGCAGGATGCCACGTTTCAGTTCTTGGCAAATGAAACATCTGAATTATAATCCCATCAAATGGCGGGCTTGTAATGGAAATGCCAGTACTTGCTTAATTAGGGCAGCACTGCTCTAATAAATGACCTCGTTTTCGTGTTTCAGCGCGGGCGTAATTTGAAAGTTTAGGGAAAGCAAATAAATCGGGGTTTGATGAAGAATCCTTGCTGAGATATGGTTGCTGGTTTGTTTTTATAGAGGAAAAGTTTAAGAGTGCCTTTAAGTGGGAAGGCCAATTTCGAAGTAATTGATGTGCTATTACTCCCTTTTGCGGCTTTTCCAGTTGAGAGGTTTGGAAATTTATCGGTCACTGTGCTTTTTGAAGGGAATGTTTTTGGAGTTGGGGGAGGTCCTATGGGGCAGTTCCAGATGTTTGTGCACCATAGGTTTCTCATAGTGATAGTGTTCAAGGACCAAAAAGCGACTCACATTTATGAGCAAGGGTAGGAGACCTGTGGTCCTCCAGATGTTGTTGGCTTTCAACTCTGATCAGCCCCAGACAGCATGGCCCAGTGGTCAGGGATGATGGGAATTGTAATCCAGCAAAATCCAGTGCCAGATGAGGAGACTTTTTCAGACTGAGAGCCACCATGCCTTATGGGCAGCCTTCTGGTTGCCGGTGATGATGGAGCAGAGGGGAAAGTGAGTGGAGCAGTAGATGTGATTCTTACCATCATTCAGCCACTCAAGAGCCAGAGGTTTCTTCACCCTCACAAACATCATAGGTCAGGGACACATTCCAGCCAGGCTAAAGCACCCAAGGGGCCTCAGAGCAGGACCAGTGAGGGGGGTGGCCTTGGGAGAGTCCCAAGGGCCAGATAGAGAAACCTTGAGGGCCACACTTGTACCGTGGACTTGAGGTTCTCCATCCCTGATGAAAAGCATAGATGTGTGTATCTCCTGCAACAAGGTGCATGCAATGTGGAAGACTATAATGAGGGTCATCAGTCTTTTTTGCATGTCATGTGCACTGTTTCAACAGTTCCTGCCTCATTTGAATGTCTGAATCAGTCCTCAAGGCTGAGCCATACAGTGCATGAATGCAAACTTTGGTTTAATCAGACTACAGTTTCCTACAAGGAGCTGCACGCAATCGCAACTCTGACGAAATACAACCATGTGAAATGCCTGTTTCCAAACACCAGTGATTCACATATTAAAGCCTTCCCCAACCTGGTGCCCTCCAGGTGTTGTAGGGCCACAGTGCCCAACAGCCCACAAACAACATGGGGAGTTGTTGTCTACAACACCTGGAGGGCACAACTCCTGCTGCACAGGACGACATCTTCAGATCTCATATGGTCACATTTTTTCTCCTTCCCGGACCCTAGTAGAAGGAGCCCCCCCCCCAAAAAAAATTCAGATATGTGGTGAAATAATTATGGCCCTCCTGGGCCATCCACATCTCCCCAGATTTGCCTTTAGTATAGCACCAGCTCTGTCTATAATAATTGCATTTATTGTGGCCTCTTCCTCAAGAGGAGATGAAAATTTCAGTGTTATTTCTTGCGTTCTTTAAAATTCCTTCTTGTCTCTAACATGACAGATGAGCAAAGACTAAATTCTAATCACTGCTGTTTGTCCCTTGCCAACAAAGTAACCCTGGAGCTAATTCTTCTGTGTTCCTGTTTTCCATTAGGGGAAAGGGGTAATCTCTCTCTCACACTCTTTTTTTATTGCTGTTGCTGAAGACGCAAGCCAAGCTGCACCCTAACATTTCCCCCCTCTCAGCTATTTATTTTTCCTTTCTAGGTTCAAGACCGGCCAGATAAATGGTGATCTGCTGATATACCACGTCTTGCTAACTTTGAAGCCATACTACGCTAAGCCATATGAGATTGTGGTGGACCTCACTCACGCCGGCCCCAGCAATCGGTTCAAAACGGACTTCCTCTCCAAGTGGTTTGTTGTTTTCCCGGGACTCGCTTACGAAAACGTCACCGCTGTTTTCATCTATAACTGCAACTCGTGGGTGAGGGAGTACACGAAATACCACGAGAGACTTCTGACAGGCCTCAAAGGCAGCAAGAGACTCATCTTCATTGACTCGCCTGGGAAGCTGGCAGAACACATAGAGCATGAGCAGCAGAAGCTCCCGGCGGCCACTTTGGCCTTGGAAGAAGACCTGAAGGTTTTCCACAATGCGCTCAAGCTGGCCCACAAAGACACCAAAGTTTCTATTAAAGTGAGTCTCATGCAACGCTGTGGTCTTTGCCTTTAGGGAATTGTGCCATATATACATTTAGGGCAGTGTGGATTCTCCATTTAAAATGAGCAAGTGCAGAGCATTGCATGGCCCTCCAGATGTTGTGGGACATCTACTCCCATCATCCCTGACCACTGGTTGTGCTGGCTGGGGCTGATGGGAGTTGGGGTTTATTAAGCTTAGCTGTATGCAGTTGTAAACAAATTCTGCTTTATTGAAAGCTTTATTCATACCCAGCCACGCACAAGACTGCTTGCCTTGCTATGACCAACATTTCCTGATCAATAACAGATTTTATCTCTGTCTCTCACCATCTCTCCCAAAGTGACTGACCACTTGTCAGTCAACCAGGAGAATGTTAGCTTGCTAGTCAACCATTTTCTGTTCCAAAGTAACCAGTTCATACAGCTTTCTCCTGCTAAATAGCTTGACTCCTTGAGAAGAACCCGATTTCAGAGTGGTTAGGATTCTTGTACCTAATTAATACACATACTCCCATAGAGATTGGTTGCCATCCTTTTTGGAAATGGCACATAAAGAATAAATTGATCTTACTGTTAACCAATGAAATCCCTTACTCTTTTTAAAAGGAGGTAACATAACTGGGGGTGTTTTTTGGGGGGGGGAGCGCATTGACCATGTTTTCCTTGTACAAACTAAATACCTTCCCATAGGTTGGTTCTACAGCTGTCCAAGTAACTTCAGCGGAGCGCACAAGGGTCCTGGGACAGACGGTGTTTTTGAATGACATTTACTATGCCTCTGAAATAGAAGAAATCTGCCTTGTGGATGAAAACCAGTTCACCTTAACCATCGCCAACCAAGGCACGCCTCTCACTTTCATGCACCAGGAGTGTGATGCCATCGTCCAGTCCATCATTCACATACGGACGCGGTGGGAGCTATCGCAGCCCGACTCCATACCGCAGCATACAAAAATCCGCCCAAAGGATGTGCCTGGGACACTGCTGAATATTGCGTTGCTCAATCTAGGGAGCTCAGACCCAAGCTTACGGTATGGATCTCTTAATTTCAACTGAAACTTTGTAACAGGCACCAGTTTCTTTAAGGGTGTTATTGGCCTTTTCTCCTTACATCCTGCTTTGAAGCATACCGGCTACAATTTAGCCGGTGTGTTGTATATGCAGCCAGGGTTCTCCCCTTGTGTATTGTGGATCACCTTTACATTCAGAACTCTTTGCTTGCCTTGGTTAGTGTTGAAGCCCGATTGTCTCAGTTGCGGCCATTATGTAAAAGTAAATGCTTTTGAGGTTACTGAAACTTAATGCTATACAGTACAAATGTTTAGGATTCATATATACACTTATATCATTTTTCAAGCCATTGAGGTGTCGACCGATTGACTTGTGAAGTATTTTAATAGACTAAGAAGAAGTTCTTGATTCATTGGTTGGCGTGTTTTAAACATTTCTTAATTGCAACTACTTCTGAAAACTGTGTGTGGCAAGCACCATCTTGGAAGAGGCATTCCCCATTCTCTCTCGTTCATTCACGGGGGGAAGGCCTCTTTTAAGGACATGCCCAAGGCAACCCATGCACTAGCTAGAAACAAAATGTGTTCTTTTCTTTAATTGTGTTCTCTGGAGGTCTCCAGGCAGACTAATCTTCAACGGATTAGAAAGATATTCTCCAGTAACCAAACAGGGTTAACAGGAAGGGACACCATGTGGAAAACAGCTTGATCTGGGGTTTACTTAATTTTTTCATCAACACGCCCCCTCCCCCCCAAAAAAATACCCCAGCAGCCTCAGAACCACTCTGAATTTAAAGTGGCTGAACCAGTGCATGAAGGGATGCTCACTCATGATGGAAACACTAGAGTTGATCCTGGAAGCCATGAATAAAGGCAACTTCATGTTGTCAACATAGCTGACCTTTCCTTTGCCCGTCGCATATTTACCAAGCTCTTGGTGAAAGTGATGGTGCATCTCCACCCACAGCGGTATGGACAGTCTCATTTTTCCCTAACTTGGACATCGTTGCAATCAAATCCCCCACTTCCTTCAAGGAAGAAAGGATGTGGAACAAACATCCTTATAGCTTTATAACCAGGGTTCCATGAGCTTATCTTGATGCAGCGGATTCCACATCTGGGGTCTGGACATTGTATCATCAAGGACAGAGCATTCCTGTCAAGGGAATGACAACCAAAGCTGGTGAACATTCCTACCACCCTGTCACAAGCTGGCCCATTGTAGGGGGGAGATAGTGACAAAACCTTCAGTGACGAAGCACACCAGTTTTGTTTGTTTTAAACTGTTCTTAATATCACATTTTTAAGTTTCTGTAACCTGCCCTGGAATCTTGTGGCGAAGAGCAGATAAGAAATTGAAACCGTAATCCTGTTTTCTGCAGGGATTTGGTGTATGAGGGAGCTCCTGTTCCCAATCCAAGAAGGATTGAACTCTTTGCACATCAGCTGGTGTGTGTTTGTTCATTCCTGCTGCCTGTAGAGATTGGCTGTGTGCACTACTTCTCTAAGGGCGGAACTGTGCATGCAAGTGAACCAAGCAGGATTGAACCTCCAACCATCAGGTGATGTCAGTTGACAGCCAGCAAGTGGGAAATGGCCTTGTAGGCCAAATTGGAACCCCCAGTAGGCCAATATTGGCTCACAGACCAGAGGTCCCCCCCCCTGCTACCCCTGTTTTAGGGATAGGCTAGTTCAGGCATAGGCAACCTCGGCCCTCCATATGTTTTGGGACTACAACTCCCATGATCCCTAGCTAACAGGCCAGTGGTCAGGGATGATGGGAATTGTAGTTCCAAAACATCTGGAGGGCTGAGGTTGCCTATGCCTGGGTTAGTTTTTGATTTGATTTCTTATGAGTTAGGGTCAGTGAACTGCTTCCATAGTTTGGACTCTCTCCAGGGCTAGAGGAGAAGTACTTCCCCATACGGCATCATTTCCTGCTGGCCCTGTCTGGTGATCAGAGGAAGTCTGAACAGTCAAAGACTTTTCTGCCCTAGAATATCTGAGAAAGGAATTGCAGGAAATGTAGATCTCCCTTTTTCTCATATGCCAGTTTTTGTAGAGTTAATTAGTTGATTCACCAACAGATTCACATATAACCGATCAACAAATATTTATTTTAATTGAGTTCTCCCCCCCAACTCTCTCTCTCTCTCTCACACACACACACACAGAGAGAGGAGAGAGAGAGGGAGAGAGAGAGAGAGGAGATTTCCTTGGGATTTCAATTTGGGGGTTTTGCACTGATTAATCGTGCATGGTAGATGGAGCCGGTGCTATAGTCCAGAGAGCAATCCTGGTCTCAGTGTTATGAAATTGTGTTTTTTAGTAAAGCCTTTTAGTCCCCATTGATGAAAGATTCTTTTTTTTAACTGCTTCCCTTATTCTTTGTTGCAGGTCTGCGGCCTATAATCTTCTCTGTGCCTTAACCTGTACCTTTAATTTAAAGATTGAAGGCCAGTTACTGGAAACTTCAGGTCTGTGTATCCCTGCCAACAACACCCTTTTTATTGTCTCTATTAGTAAGACTCTGGCAGCTAATGAGCCCCACCTCACCTTAGAGTTTTTTGGAGGAATGCATTTCCGGATTTAGCAAATCTAGTAAGTAGAGACACTTTCCTTCTGCTCTTGTTCTGACAATGGAAAGGTGTTGGGTTTGGGTAGCACCGTTACCAAAGTTATAAATGGAAGTGTTTCCTGGTTAGTGTTTTTCCGATCAAGTTCCTCCTTTGCACAACCCATAGCAAGTCCATTGGTGCCCATTTCCAAATGTAACAGACTTATCTCTGTCCTAATCTGATGCCAGGCAGTGTTATGATACAGACTGCAGTCCGTGAGTGCCAAGGACGACGCCAAGGCAAGTTTATTCTATTTGAGTAATCAACCATGTCTTCCTGGTTTCTTGCTTACAGGGAAAATGCTACTCCCGCCCCCCCCCCGCCCCCGAAGATTGAACCAATTTTGTAAAATAAACTTTGCTGTCCAACATTAAAGTGTGTTTTTAAAAACGGCTCTGTCTTTACGCTAGCGGTCTGCTGCCTCTTCTGAAATTAAGCAGAGGGCTGTGAATTGTATCTGACAATTAGCCCTATTCAGAGTAGATCCATTGAAATGAATGGAGAGAGCTAACTTAATGCCATTCATTTCAATGGTCTACCCTGAATAGAATTCAGTTGGATACAACCCAATGTTACCAGGACACATGTTGCAGAATTCAAGTGAGCCTCTTTTAACTTGCCAAAATAAGATGTTTACTTATCAAGGGCATAGATTATGACATCAAAGGGATACAGTGCTAGACTGCAGGCTTTCGTGCTGGTTGGATGTTCCAGAGCCCATGGATGTTGGCCTTGCTTGTGTATAAATGGCCATGTGTAGATTGAAATCTATTGTCTCCAGCCTCGCCACCCTCTTTTGAAGGGCTGCCTTTGAGTGCATTATATTGTTGTTGTTGTTTGTTTGTTTGTTTGTTTGTTTACATTTTTCTGTCACTTTATACAGCAGAAAAAGCCTCAAAGTGACTTAACAAGATAAAATACACCAATTAAGAGTAATTTTAAACAATGAACAATGCAAAATACATAGAACGGGCATCCAATAATATATCAATAGGGACAAGTCCTACCCATCCCACTAATACAGTGGTGCCTCGCAAGACGAAATTAATTCGTTCCGCAAGTCTCTTCGTCTTGCGAGTTTTTCGTCTTGCGATGCACGGTTTCCCATAGGAATGCATTGAAAATCAATTAATGCGTTCCTAGGGAAACCGACTTCAGACCAGGTCCGGGGACAGTCTGTCCCCCGACCTCTTCTGAAGGACTGGGGGGGGGACAAGGGCTTTTCTTCCCACCCCCAGCAATTTTAAAAAACCCCGGGACAGCGGAGGACGTCTCCGCTGTCCGGGGCGATCTTAAAATGCTGACGGGCGGCATTTTAAAATCACCCGGGACAGCAGAGGACTTCTCCGCTGTCCGGGGCGATTTAAAAGCCCCTGGGAAGGCAGGCAGGGGGGACAAAGATTTTCGCCCCCCGCCCGCCTTCAGAAGAGGTCCTGGACCTCTTCTGAAGGCTGGCGGGGGGCGAAAGTCTTTGCTCCCCCGCCTGCCTTCAAAAGCTGTCCGGCCCAGGCTTTGCGGACCTCTCCGCAGCAGCGGCAGCGCTGCCGGGCGAGGGGAGGCGTTCCTGCCCCTCCGCCCGGGATCGGTGGCATCGTCCCCGATGCGCGGCGGCGGAGGAGGCGTTCCCCCCCCCGCCGCCCGGGATCGGGGCATCGTCCCGATGGCGGGCGCGGGGGGAGGCGTTCCTGCCCCGCCGCCCGGGATCGGGGCATCGTCCCGATGGCGGGCGCGGAGGAGGCGTTCCCCCCCCCCCCGGGCGCCCGGGATCGGGGGCATCGTCCCGATGGCGGGCGGCGGGGGGAGGCGTTCCCCTCCCGCCGCCCGGATCGGGGCATCGTCCCCGATGGCGCGCGGTGGCGGAGGCGTTCCCCCCCCGCCACCCGGGATCGGGGCCTCGGTCCCGATGAGCGGGCTGCGGAGGAGGCGTTCCCCCCCCGCCTCCCAGGATTGGGGCATCGTCCCGATGGCGCGCGGCGGCGGAGGCGTTCCCGCCCCCCGCCGCCCGGGATCGGGGCATCGTCCCGATGGCGAGCGGCGGGGGGAGGCGTTCCCGCCCCCCGCCGGCCCGGGATCGGGGCATCGTCCCTATGGCGGGCGGCGGCGGGAGGCGTCCCCCCCCCGCCCGGCATCGGGGCATCGTTCCGAAGCCCGGCGGCGGCGGGAGGAGGTGTCCCCGCCCCGCCACCAGGCTTCGGAGGAGGTCCAAGGACAGCGGGGAAGACGCGCTGCGCTTCCCCGCTGTCCCAGAGATTTCCCTATGGGCTGTCGTCTTGCGAAGCAAGCCCATAGGGAAATTCGTTTTGCGAAGCGCCTCCAAAACGGAAAACCCTTTCGTCTAGCGGGTTTTCCGTCTTGCGAGGCGTTCGTCTTGCGAGGTACCACTGTAAATGAACACCACCGTAGGAGGCTACTTAATTACAAGAGGCCTGAGTCAACAAAAAGGTCTGGTACTTAAAGGACTTGGCAATGATGGCTCTAGGCACAAATCCCTAGAGAGAGCATTTCATGGGGTGGGGAGACTAAATAGACCAGTTCTCATGTGGTTGCCCTTCACATGAAATGTAATATATTTTTAGGCCTTCTGGTCCCAGTCCATACATCGTGGTATGTATGCCCCTGTTTTTCCAGAGGGTTAGTCCGCACTTCCAAGGGGTCTGTTTGCCCCAGCAGAATTGCCAACTTTCTTCAGTGCCACATCTCAAACTGCTATTGAAAACCCCCTCCATTTTAAAGTTAGTTTGCCATGCAGCATGGGAAGATGAACTTCAAGAAACACCCATCCTAAGTCACCTTTCGCAGCATGCAGAAGTGCTATTTGCTCTCCTTTGGATCCCAGACATCGTTCCTTCTTTCTAGTAATCTTCATTGGACAATGTTATAGAATAATAACCTTGAAAACTTTTGCGCAGAATTCCGCCTATTCTAAGGGAGAAACGCCGTCTCTCAGACCTCCACACGTACTACAATATGTATGTATGTATATATGTATTTATTTTATTTCAGGTATTGAACTGAAACACCTCTGTCTGGAATACATGACCCCCTGGTTGTTGAATCTGGTCCGCTTCTGCAAACACAATGACGATGCCAAACGCCAGCGAGTCACTGCTATTCTCGATAAGCTCATCACAATGACCATAAATGAGAAGCAGATGTACCCTTCCATTCAAGCCAAGATATGGGGGAGCTTGGGCCAGGTATTGCCTTTTTTTTATGTTGTAGATCTTCTCTTGTTTATGGGAGAAACGATGTCCTTGACAGTCGCTTAAGTATTAATTACAATAAGGTTTGCTTCCAGTCTTGCTAGAGTCACAAATAAAGATAAATTTACGTCTACCTTAAGTCTTTGCAATTCATGTTAATTATCCAACTCTTGTTATCTTTGAACCATCTCTGCAACATCTGTTATTATTTTTGCTGGACCTTGGAAGGAAAGGGGTTCAAAATGTCATATTCATAATCTTCAAAAAAAGCAAGCATCCAGTTTGAAACTGTTGAGGGAGATCTGTTGAATCGGTTGATTTTTTACAGTTTCCGTGTTTGATTCTGGCTTAGGTATGGAAATGTGGCTGGTCTTGAGAAAGCCATTTATTTTAATAGTGTAATAAATTGTAATACTACTTCCGTTTGGCCAGCAGGGCTAGTAGAATGGATTTAGGCTCCACCTTCTGGTCAAGGCAGGAACAAACTCTTTGGAAGTACTCTAGGCTACTCCCATGATCCTCTCGTTTGCTTCTTGCCTTCATCAAATTCAGTGGATTGCTTAAGCTCCCTTAATATTTCTCCTCAGAGTCCTTTGCTCTGCTTCTTCCCTCTTAGCTCATCTCTCCTTGTTCCTAACAATTTGCTGCTGTTGGTGTTCCCTTGTGTCTCTGGATTGCTTCAGGTCTCCCCCCCCCCTGTTTTTTATAAAATTTATATCCCACTCCTTGTCCCAAAGGATCCCATGGTGGCAATATGCTAAGGATTCCCACCTTGGGGGTAGGAAAAGCTATGAGATCACCTGTTGGTTGGGTTTGACAAAATTTGTATCTTACAATTAAAAGTCTTGCATTTCCAGGTCACCTGATCAGTAGTAAATGCAAAAGTGCCATTTAAAAATAAATAAATGGATTATTAAAATGAAGCAAACTAACACAGCACACACAAAGAGCAACAGCTTGCTTGCACAGGTAGATAGTCAAAGAAGACTGCTCTAAGTAAAAATGCCAGCATGAGACTTCTTTAAAAAAAAGTATGGGAAGTGCCCTTACCTGGAGTCTAATTGATAGCTGCAAAGGCACCCAGCAGCTTTCTCCAGGAAGAGCAATCGAAATACAAGAACCCATCACGGGAAAAGGGCTCTCTCCAGTTGAAGATTGCGGTGGGTGGATGGAAATAGATTGTGGAGAGCCTCCTGTGAGGTTCGGCTGAAGTTCTTATGTTAACGGATGCAAATGATTTATTGTCTTTTACAACAGATTACTGACCTGCTTGACGTAGTGCTGGACAGTTTCATCAAAACCAGTGCCACAGGGGGATTGGGATCCATCAAAGCGGAGGTTATGGCAGACACAGCTGTAGCTCTGGCATCTGGAAACGTGAAATTGGTTTCCAGTAAAGTAAGTTCTTCTCTTCCTTAACTAGTTTAAACCTAGCGAACTGTTTTGACACTGTCTCTCCACATCTGAAAAGAAACGGTATGGTCGTGTGAAGTCATCACACCCTGCCCTCCACCCTTCCTTATAGTAATCTAAGAAAGCTGCAAATCATAAGGGAGGTAGTTCCCAAAGAAGGAAAGGGTTAGCTCCCTTCTCTGTCCTGCTTTGTTGGGGCAGCAGGCAGAGCACAGGATAATTCCTACAGAGGCAGCACAACACTGTTGGCTGTGTGGTATTCAGTTCACATTGGTGGATATGGCACTAAAACATTAAAATATAAGATGAGACCTGCTAGTTCAAACCAGAGATCTATTTAGTCCTGCCTGTTGTCAGCCAGGTGTTCTGGGAAGGGCACAAGCATCACTCTGAAGGCAACAATCCTTCCTAGCTGTAGGCTTTGTTACAGTTGTGAATTGACACTAATTTCAGTGGTGAGTCCACTTGCAGAAGCTTAAGGTGCTATTTATTTATTTAAATCTACGTGTTCTGTGCTGCTTGTCATCCCAAATAAATTTCAAAGCAGTTTACAAAGACAAAATAATAATTAAAAGCTTGCCAATTAAAAACAACAACCATAAAGTATCACAAATACCAACAATAGTGTAGAGAGCATTCAGATTCTCTTTTTCCCTTTGAGTACAGCAATGGTTGGTTGGCCCTAACATTGGTCATAAAGCCATCCGTCAGAACAGTTTTTAAAGTATTTTTTCATGAGGTGAAGAAAGGCTTTTCCATAGCCCTGAACAAACCTTGGTGCCATTTAGAGCAGGTATTTTGTGGGGTGAGAAATCAGAGCAAAGCAGATAACCTGCCTGATGCATTTGGGCAAGGGGGTGGAAAAACCGGAAGAACTCTTGATTTGACCACTGTGCATGTCAGTTGAGGAAGGAAAATGTGGGGTTTCAGGGGAGAACTAGTCTTGCAGCTATAAAGTCTGCATCTGTTCCTCGTTGCAGGTACATGTGTACATGCCTTAGCAGGTTAAGCCCAAAGGCTTCCTGGAAGAGGTGTCTTTCAAGGAGGAACTTGAAAATAATCCTATGTAGTGGAAAAGAAACCTAAATGTCAGGATACGCACCAACAGCTGTTGACAAGCACAATGTCTTTTTCTTTGGGAATCTCGGACTCTGTTCCCCTGTCCCTTTCCCCTCTTGACGGTTCTCTCAAGTGCCCCTTGGGAACACCTTGTCCCTCAGGCGAACTGTGATGCTACCTTTTGTTGTTGTTCTGAACGTAGAGCGCTCCTTACTAAAAGTGACTGGTTGCTCCCTTTCAGGTAATTGGAAGGATGTGCAAAATAATCGACAAGACCTGTCTGTCTCCAACTCCTACATTAGAGCAGCACCTGATGTGGGATGATATTGCCATTCTAGCCCGTTACATGCTGATGCTGTCCTTTAATAATTCACTCGATGTGGCTGCACACCTCCCCTACCTCTTCCATGTAGTTACTCTGTTGGTGGCCACCGGTCCTCTTTCCCTTAGAGCTTCCACCCATGGCCTGGTCATCAACATCATTCATTCTCTGTGCACTTGTTCACAACTCCACTTTAGTGGTAAGTCCTTTACGAGATGGTTTTATTGACTGAGTTGATCTCTCCTTTACACTTGTACTTTGTTTCCTCACAGCTGACCTTGGGGCAGATTTAAAGGGTCAGCAGGGTCCAGTATAAATTTTGAGTACGTCAGATGTCTGTATCAGTGATGAGCAGCTACCTGCTGCCTCTTTCCGTCCCGTCTCTGTTGTCCCTACATTTCTCTCTCTGCTACTTGCAGGAATTGTCAGTGCCTCCCTCCTAAACACTGTGCTTTCTTCTCCTGCTGTGCAGCTGTGCTCATGAGCCAGCCTGCCTGCCTGCACATAACAAAGATCTAGGCTAGTGCACACAAATTATTTGAAGAATCAGTTGCGATTGTACAATATATCCAGTGAGTGTGACACTCACTGCATTAAACTGAACATAGGAAGGCAACACAGTAGTGATGGGTTGATTTTAGAGTTGTCTCATCAGCTGCTGAGCCATAAAGGTGCTTGAACACGTTCCTAATAATTGCTGGAGAAGTGGGTTAGATATCACAGACCTTCCCTTGCTTAAAAATCTAATACAAGTAAGTGATGTTACATAAGCCTTTGAATTATAGCCAGTATGGTAGATCAAACTTTGATGTACAGTGTTGTGAAACTGTTTAAGGTAAGCAAAAACCAAACAAGAACCTGCACTATCTATTTTAAATACATTATATATCAAGAGAGTTAATGGAACCTGTGCTCCATATTTGCTGACCCTGCTATGTATGACCTCTAGCTCTTCCCCTGTAGCCCTCCTTTATCTTCTCCTCTCTCATTTCCCATGTAGTCACACTATACAAAGCTGCAAATTAGACTTGGGGGCTATATATTTTGTGTTTTAATAGAGTGAGGTTTTGGTGTTGCATTTAAAATCACACTGTGAGGTCTAAGGAATGCTAAGATCAGTTCGCTCCCGCTGAAGGCTCTACAAGCCTCGTAAGGTAGAACAAAATTGACTGCCTGTCATGACCGTAAATTAGGGATGCATGTAGTGTTGCCATTGGGTTTAAAAATAAATTGTAGGGCAACCTTTTGCTTTTGTGGTTAAAGAAGAATACACTGTAGAGATCAATAGCTGGAGGGAAATGTGGAGCATTTAGGGCAATTCTCAATCTCCCATGGTGGGTAAAGCGGTCTCCACATAAGAGGCAGTGCCACTTTGTGATGAAACAGAATTCCTCTGCCCAGGGTAAGATGCTTCCCTGCTCTGTTTACTCTTACCTTTGCTGATCTGAAGTCAACCAAAGTTTTCCACTTTGAGCTCCTACCTTCCCTCCTCTTCTCAAGCATCCAGTGTGAACTTTTTTTTTTGGCTCTCTGATTCGGTTACAAGAGCATACCTGCCTTAAAGCAGGTCAGACTATTTCAGCCCTGTGTTTAATAACTCACCTGGTAGCTAGAGGTGAGAAGGAATTATGTGTAGGCACACAGGTGGGCTGCCTGGAATCTGGCTGCCTGGTTTCTGTATTGGTTGAAGAGCAGTCCCTCAGCTTCCCTCTGCCAGCACACATGGTAGGATGCAATTTATTTATTTATTTTTACTAGTTTACTAAGAGGCTAGTATTCAAGGGTTTCTGTACTAGACCCTTTGGGAGGGGAGAGTGTCCCTTCCTGTGGCCAGCACGAAAATGCAGAATGCTAGCCTCTTATCCAGGTGAGTAAAAAAAACTTTATTTGCAGGCTAGTAACTTTTGTCTACTTATTTACAAGGCTGGGCTGTTTGTCCCACCTAACCCCAGTATTGTCTGCTGCAACCCTCCCCAGTCTGGTGTCCGCCAGAGATAGTTGGAACTACAACTTGGGCAGGTGGGTTGTGCATTTGGAATCCTACTGGCTGTTGACATCGCCCAGAGCTGGGCAAGTAAAATGAGAGAACCATCAGAGGCAGGACCATTATGGAAGGACATTGTTAATGGTTAATGGTTTGTTAATGGTTAATTGTTAATGGTTTTACTTTATTTCAGGCCAGGTCCTAAAATAGGCACTTACCATAATATGTACGTTGTAGTGGCATATGTGTGTGGATGTTTGTGATTTAATCCAAACAGATGGAATGAGATTCGAAGTACCTGTTTTTACTTCCTTCAACAGAGGAGACCAAGCAAGTGTTGAGACTGAGCTTAACAGAGTTCTCACTCCCCAAGTTCTACTTGCTGTTTGGAATAAGCAAGGTGAAGTCGGCAGCTGTCATTGCATTCCGATCCAGTTACCGGGACCGGTCGTTCTCTCCCGGCTCCTATGAGAGGGAGACGTTTGCACTGACTTCTCTGGAAACGGTGACAGAAGCTTTGCTGGAGATTATGGAGGTATGATATGTGCAAGGCAAGCCATCATCTGTGGGTTGAATTCAGGGTTGTAGCTGGTACTCAGTTAAAACTTTGGTTGGTTGTTTCTGGACAGGACAAATTTTAATCAGTGATGCCAAGAGTTAGTGCATGGGCTTGTATTTTGAGGGAGCAAGAAATAAAATTTTTCAAATGACCTTGCTGACAGTGAATGGCAGCTCTTGGTTTAGTCAACACATGTGGCAGATTCAGGTGGTAGTGGATTGTACCACTCCCATAATCTTTGACATAGGCCATGCTGGCTAAGGTTATGGAAGTTGGTGACTGTCAACATTTGAAGGCCACAGGTTCCCCTTCCTTGCCTTGTACCTTAGTACCTCACAAAGGACACCTTTGTTGTATGTGTGGATAACACCAAAAGGTGTCTGTTAACTTAGCAGTTAAAGACAGCAGGCAATGTATCCATAGGGAGAAAGCTGCTGTTTACTAATTACTGAAATGGGATCATAGAATAATAGTGTTGGAAGAGACCACCTGGGTCATCTAGTCTAACCCCCTGCAATGCAGGAATTTTTTGCCCAAGGTGGGACTCGAACCCAAAACCCTGAGATTAAGAGTCAAGCTCTACCAACAGCTAATTATATGTCTTATGTATACATATAAGGCAATTATACATATGTAATGTTGCATTTATTTTTGCTTTATTTTAAAAAATAAAAAGCAAGCATCAGAAAGAGAAAGCGAGCACGGGCCTGAAATTTAATATTGCTTTTACCTTAATGTTATTTGCTCAGACACTGTTGCTTTTGCCTTTCTCCTCCGTAGGCATGTATGAGAGATATTCCGACCTGCAAGTGGCTTGACCAGTGGACGGAACTAGCTCAGAAGTAGGTCATTTTGCCCCCCAACCCCAAGCTTGTTTGGTGGTACCCCTGTGTCACATTTGCTATTCCTTCAGCCATCTCCCACCCGATTTCACTGTTGGCCTTATTCTAGTCCAGTGTTTCCCAACCTTTTTTGGGCAAAGGCACACTTGTTTCATGAAAAAAATCTCGAGGCACACCACCATGCCAGATGGGGAAAGGTCACTTTTTACTTATGTAAAAAAAAATAAAAAAATAGTAACAGCATAGAAGGTAATGGTTAGGCTAGCATCCCTCTTCCAAATATGCTAGGTTTTTATTTGCAGGGACTGTTCTACATGGGAAAGCATTCAGCACTGTCATTCTCCCATCTGAATTGGTACTATTCTGGGTCAACTTACTCTGCTGCATGTGTAGATGAAAATGGCACCAAGTGTGGGGGAGGGGGCAGAACAGGTTTCAGATACAGGATATTAAGCATACACGTACTTCAGATTGAACTGGTTGCTTGCTTTGCAAGTTTTCATTTCCCAAATGACTGCCTTGGCAAGCGCAATACCTACCAGGCTCAACGCCGGTCTCGCGCTGCCGCTTCCCGCGCTCTCAAGGACCCGGGAGGAGGAAGGCGTGAAGGGAATCCCGAAGGCGCGAAAACCTCGCGCATGCGCAGGCCTTCCGCCTGCGACAGCCCAGTAGGCCGGCCGAAGCGAGCGGCGATGGGATGTGGGAGCTCGCTCGCTCGCCGCCCCACGTGTGCCTATGTGGGGCACGTTACAGCCCCGTGACGTCAGCGCCACGCAGGCAGCCAGGCAGGCAGACGGCGAGAGCCCCGTGCTGGGCGGCCTCTCCTCGCCGCCGCCGCCCCGCCTCTCGCCGCCTGACTCGCCCGCCTCCCTCCAGGCAACATCTCGCGGCACACCAGGCAACGTCTCGCGGCACACTAGTGTGCCGCGGAACACCGGTTGGGAAACACTGTTCTAGTCGGTGGCCTGCTTGATAGCTGCTTTCCCTCCTCCACAGGTTTGCATTCCAGTATAATCCGTCCCTCCAGCCAAGAGCCCTGGTTGTCTTTGGCTGCATTAGCAAACGGGTGTCACACGGACAGATAAAGCAGATCATCCGGATTCTTAGCAAGGTATGTACCCTCCTTTCCTGTCCGCTGTTGCTTTTCTTTTCATGTCGCTCTTATTTCCAGGCTAAGGCACTTCAGCCCATTGAAACGCATACCATCTGGGATGCAAGCAAGCATTCAACTCCTCCTGTGAAACATTTCGGTGCTGTGCAGTACGCTGCAGTCACAGAAGTCTTGTGGCCTTTTTGTGGCACTTGTTTGTTCTGTCTGAGGAGTTATGGTGGTTCAAGGCACCCCCAAAAGTTTAGGGGTGCTTGTCTGCCCCCTCACACTTGGATGTGCTTCTCCTGGGCCTGGCACTACTACCTAGAATGCTTGGGCTTGTGGCATCTGCCACGTTTTGTGGCAGTGGGCATTTTCCCCCATCACATTGTACTTTAGCTGTGAATAAGTTCGCCATTCTGGTTGCCCAGGATTACACTCTGCTTAGCTCACAACCCAACTCTGAAAAACAACCCTGGATCCAGCCCTATTGATGACACTTCTGAAACAAGCCCGTAAATTAGAAACTGACAGTCTGTGGAGGGGGAAGCAGGACTTTCAGGCTACGTGAGGAACGCTCCTCTCAGCAGCTTCAGCTTTCTCCTGGAGCCCTTAAAGGATACGTCTCACAGGCTGGATCTGTCACTGTATGAATGGAGGCAGAATGTGAAAGTAGTGATCCAGCGGCTGTATATTGCATAGTCCAGCAGGAGGCCAGTCTGCTATCCTATTGCTTTACAGCTTGTGTTGTAATGATAAGCACCCTTACCTCGGAGTAAGACCCATTGAAGGCAGTGTTACTTCCTTCTGAGTAGATATGCTTAGGATTCTGCTGCTTGTCCATTGTTAACATATTAGATCTTGTAAGGCAAAAGTGGGCCTAAAAAGATTGATGAGGGCATTCTCAGGATACTGCCAAAGAGAACAGCTAGCTGTGAATTACAAGAAAGCTGAAGTCATGGTGTTTTCAAGAAACTATAGGGCCCATAGATGGTATATGGATAATCAGTTGATCGAACAAGTTAAAGTCACTTCGGCCTTATTTTTCAGTCATCAGGGTCATCAGAAATATGCAAAGAAAAAGAGTCTCAGAGTGCCAAAATTCTGATGTGCTTTTACCATACAAAAGGCGGCAATCAGATACCATCAGCGCTTGAAGTGTTTAAAGCTAAAGCCCTAGCACAGTTATTATTTGGGGCTCAGATTTGGACAGGCGCTCATCTTGGATCTACAGAAGCTGTTCATTCTAAGTTCCTAAGGCAATTTTTTCCTGTTCCGTCCTGTGTTCCAAATGCCTCATTGCGCTTGGAGGCTAATCTCCCTTCTTTTGAATTACAGATTTGGTTTAGGACATTTAATTATTGGCTTCGCTTAAATTTAAACCCCACTGGTCTACTACCCTTAGTATCACAAGATTGTCATGAGAGCGCTTGGACTAAAATTGTCAACCAAAAGCTTTACTTTTCTGGTTTATCACCACAACAGTAATTAAAGGAAATAATTTAATTAGACAGCGCCTATATATCACGTGACAGAAAAATTTGGCCACAATAAGGAAATTTTGTCCATGGTATGATTATTTTGACCTAGTCATTTTGACACGTTGGCACCCTATTTGCAAAATTTAACAATTCCAAAATACAGACATGCTTTCACTTTCACAATATTGAATATACTACCTTCAGCTGTACTTGTGGGTCGATTTAAAAAAAAAACCACTGGGGAAATGGTTATGTCCCTGTGGAGATGGCAGTATTGAGTGAGTGGCTCATGTGCTTCTGGCTTGCACTCTTTATAAAGAGTTGAGGAGTGAGGTTATTACCCTTCTATTATTGTCCATGCTGGGTCGCACAACCATTGCTACCGTGCTCTTACTTTTAGCAGATCAAAATGATCAGGTGACAGCAAAAACTGGGGAAAAAAATAGCAGGGGCAATTAGAATAAGATCTATTATTTGATTATTGATTTAAACCTCCAGAACGTATTTTGTATAGTTAAGTTTTTACCTCTATCTTCAGTACATGGATTTTTAAAAAATTGCTATGGCTAGTGGCTGATGCAAATAAAGATTCTTCTTCTGATCTTATAATGGGCTTACATGTTTATCCAGCTGGTTTTCTGCTTAAATCTTTCAACTGGGAGGTACCTTTGTTGCTTCTTTGTTCCCAGAAGGGGAAGTGCCATATCTCACTGGCAGAGCATCTGCCTTGAATGCAGAAGGCCTAAGGTTCAATCCCCAGCATCTCCTGGGAGAGGCTGCTGTCTGAAATCCTGAAGAGCTGCTGCCCGTCAGTGTAGACAGTACTAGGCTAGATGGAGCAATGGTCTAAGGCATCTTCCTGCGTTCCATATTTAGGCTAGAGCTGCATGCTACTGGTACAGCAGAGAGAGGCTGTGGTTGGTCCTGAATGGGATTGTAGAACAAATGAGTCCAAAGCAAAGTGTTGTCATCACAGGACTCAATCTTCTGCACAAACAGGGGGAAATTGTGGCATAAAGAATAGAAAGAGCAGAAGGGAACAGATAGACTTTTCGCTCAGCTGTGAAAGGGATCAATAAAGGGAAAAGATGGGAGCAATTTGTAGACTAACAGCTTGATGCTAGAATGAAAATAAACATGAAAGCATTTCTGAGGGGGTGAAACCATAGTGACACGGGGGTGAGAGAGGTTCACTTTAACAGAGGCATTTGTGATTGACAGAAGCGGGAGGTGGTTGGAGAGTAAGAATGCAAAAAGAGAGACTGAGCCTCAGCCTGGTATTTCAGTGTTGTTGTTTTTTTACTATATTTACATAGCTGCCCAACAAAGCGTATTCTGCAATATAAAATATGAAATAATAATAAAAACTAAAAGCGCAGATTTTAAAGCTAAGAGGATGACTCCATAAAACATACATTATTGAAAATGCGGGGAGGGGGCAATAAGGTCTTCAGGTGAACTTCTGCAGGAAGACTGATCCATATAACTAGGGTGCCACCCCTGAATAGGTCCTCCTCTCCCTAGTGATAACCCACCTTGTGTTACTGGGCAGGGGCAATGCAAATCAGCTATTAAAACCTGGAGCAAAGAGAAGGGGAGCCATGCCTTGCAGTCACAAGCCAATCCTCTTTTTCCTTTCTTGATTACAGGGTCTCGAGAGCTGCTTGAAAGGCCCCGATAACTACAATAGCCAGGTTCTAATAGAAGCCACGGTCATAGCACTGACCAAGCTGCAGCCACTTCTCAATAAGGTAAGCTGCCTCAGTGCTCAACAGCCTGTTCTGCATTGCTGTTTGCAGCAAATACAAGGTGGTTCGAATGACGATGCTCCGGTAGCTCAAACGCAGATCTTCCACCTGTCTTTCCTCTCTGAACATCTTCTTTGCTGAAGAGGAATTTTTAAATGTTGCTGCTGTACATATTTGGCAGATTGGACTTAATATGGCCTGGCTTAAGACACTGTGGCCTGATGTCATTAGGACCATTCCTTGGGTTTGCACATTCCCTCCCTCGCACATTCTACTTCTTCGCCTTACTTCTTCGTTCTCAGCAAACCATGTTTTCTGTTCTGTTTGAGAGGCAAACTATGGTTTGCGCTAATGGTAGTTTACTTGACTTGGTCATAATCAGAGCACCCACAAGCAGAGGGGGTGTAGAGGGGGTCTTTGAGTCTGAGGTGTGGCACCAACAGCTAAATGCTGGTGATTTTAAGTTGGTTGTTTAGCAAGTAAGTGCCTAGCATGTTTTCAGTCTCTGCCAGCCCAAGCCCAGGATACTGAAGCACAGTTTGAAGTGGAATTTAGGATTCCATCTTTTCTCAGAGCTGGTAATTGTAGCTTCCTTGTTTCGATGAAATGGGAAACTGTGGTTAATTAGAGACTTCCTGAAGAGAGTAGCTGTATGTGTGGTCAAAAGGCTGTAGCATTGGAAAGGTCCAACTCTCTGCAATGCAAGAATCTCAGCTAAAGCATCCATGACAGATGGCCATCCAACTTCCACTTATAAACTTCAAATGAAGGAGAATCCACCACCTGAGAGAGCCCATTCCACTGTCCAACAGCCCTTGCTGTCATTAAGTTCTTCCTAAGGCTTAGTCAAAATCTCCTTTCTTGTGATTTGAGTCCATTGATTTGGGCCCCAACCTCTGGCACAGCAGAAAACAAGCTAGCTCCATCTTGCATCTTTACATATTGTGGCTTACTAAGCCGCAGCATATTATCCAAACCAAGCCAACAGGTACACAAATGTGATTCTCCCCAATTTGCATATATTATACCAGTTATAGGCCCCCTTTGGCTGCTAGGGTTGTTTACATTGCAAAATGAATCCAGTGTACGTGATGAATGCAGCGTGTGACTTTCTGCTTTGGCTGTTCATCACAGAAGCGAGTTTTGCATTTCAACCTGGTGGCTTTTCCCTTCCCCTGTCCAGGACTCGCCTATGCACAAGGCCCTCTTCTGGGTGGCCATGGCTGTTCTGCAGCTGGACGAAGTCAGTCTGTATTCAGCGGGCACAGCTCTCCTCGAGCAGAATCTCCATACCCTGGACAACCTTCGAGTATTCAATGACAAAGTAAGTCAGCCACTTGTCAGGAAACATCAACACACACACACCTCCTGAATACTCTTTAGTCGTGCCGGCAATTGGAGGTGAAACTTGCTTGAAGAACGGTGCATCTTTCCTTTTGAGTGATAACTTGAGTGTTGAGAACGGAAGCAATTCCCCACCCTACTTCAGGTTATTTAAAATAGTAATGGAGAAAATAATAATAAAAATGACGACAACAACAACAACTAATAGTAATAATAATAATAATAATAATAATAATAATAATAATAATAGAAGATGGTGTGTATGGGAATTGTCCAGTTGTGCTGCAGGCTTCATTAAAACACTGGAGCCAGAGGAACTGCAGGTTGTCTGGGAAGCCTACAAAGTACCGTATTTTTCGCTCTATAAGACAAACTTTTCCCCTCCTAAAAAGTAAGGGGAAATGTGTGTGCGTCTTATGGAGCAAATGCAGGCTGTGCAGCTATCCCAGAAGCCAGAACAGCAAGAGGGATCGCTGCTTTTGCTGCGCAGCGATCCCTCTTGCTGTTCTGACTTCGCTTCGCTGGAGAGGCGCTGCGCAGAGAGGGGGAGCTTATAGAGCGAAAAATATGATAAGCTCCTTTCCCATGGATGTTCTTTTGGACCACAAGAGTCCACCGTGGTTCCTATCTCGGGTTTTGGTGGTGTATAAGAGTTGGCTAATTTGCCAGGTAGTCTTGGGAATGGTTCCCAAGAGTCCTGGCTGCCGTGGATTAAGGAGCTCCTGAGAACCCCACCCTTATTATAATCAGTTTTGTGCAAATATATAAAATAATACCAGACGAAACAAAATAGAAAACCATAGCAATAAAATTTCTAATAAATGAGCCCTTCCAAATACGTAATAATTTTAGCAGACTTATAGTTTTGTTTTATATGCCTGGCACTTAATAGTATTAGACATTCATGAGCACGGTGGACCAGCATCTCTCCCCCCCCCCCCCCGATGATTGTGATGGTCTGTACTTTGGCTTCCTACAGAGCCCTGAAGAAGTTTTCATGGAGATCAGGAGGCCTCTGGAGTGGCACTGCAAGCAGATGGACCATTTTGTGGGACTCAATTTCAACTCCAATTTCAACTTTGCCTTGGTGGGGCATCTGCTAAAAGGTAGGCACGTAGCCCAGGTGGACCTACTTCCTTTGTCTCAGACCACGTCAGTTGAAGGTACACTTCCCATTGTTTACAGGCACCCACTGAAACATTTCCCCATCAGGTAAATATTCCCATCAGGTTTTATAGAGGCAGTTTCATTGGTCAGGCTGCCAGGTAATTGACATTTAAAGCACACCATTCAACCCACCACAAAAATCCTGGAACTGTACCCTTCATAGAGTGACACTTCCAAGTGCCGTTAAGGAACTAGAGTTCATAGGACTCTTTCAGGGGAAGTGCTTTGAATGTGCTTTAAATACATAGTATGCAGACAGCCTCTGTTTGTTTGGCAGACTCAGAGGGGGGCATGATGAGATTGGCAGCTGGCTTCAGATTAGCTGCAGCCCCCAACACAGCCAGTATTTTGACTGCTTGTGCTGTAGACGACAGATTGTGTGTGTTGTCTTTCTGCTGACATTCTGTGAAGGAGGATGCATTTATTGATATGTTTTCTGCTTGCTTTTTCGCATCTTATTTATGATGTGAATCTCACATACCTGTAAAGCTTTGTTCTCTGTTAATACATAAAAGGAAACTCTTAGTCTCCCGTTCCCTAGGATTCCCAAGGGGCCGCCTTTATTCACTGCCATTAGAGCGGCAGTGAAGAATACAGAACACCTCCGAATCAACGGAATGGAGGGCAAGGGGAGGGAGGGCTGGGAAGGACAAGTCAGTTGGCGGCACTTGGAGGGAGAGAAGGAGCTGAGGAGAGAGACCTGTGGGGAGGAGGATGTGGAGGAAAAAGCAAATGGACCAGACCTCAGAGAGCAGGAGAAGAGTGAACACAAGCAGCAGAGCCAGGAGGCTGAAAGACTGTTTTTATGATGCAAACTGAGAGGTATCCCATAATGTTTCTAGATACAGATAATCCTTGTTTTGCACATGTTCAAAGCCAAATGTGCGGGCCATTTTCGGGCCCGGAAGAGGGCAGGGCTCCGTTGTACGCTCTGCCAAATCAGGGGTTGCCTGTATCCATTGCTGAAAACCACAGGAGGGGAGAGTGCTCTTCTGCTCAGGTCCTGCTTGCATCTGCTTGGCTGCTATGAGAACAGGTTGCTGGACTAGATGGGCCATTGGCCTGGTTCAGCAGTCTCTTCTTATGTTCTTATTCAGCTGCCTTGTACTGAGACAGGCCAGTGGCATTGTCAACAGACACACTTGGCACGAGTCAAGTGGTAGATTTGGGTTGGGCTGTGTGTGCACATTGGGAGTGGGGTGTCGGTGGGTGGGACTTATCCTCATTGAAATGTGTGTGCTTCCACAGTAAATAAATCTTCATATTCATTAGACTCCAGAGTGATTACCAGTTTGCCTTTCCTCAGCTGTGGTTGAGAACCTTGTGCATTACTTTAGGATGCAGAGGAGGCAGATGAACTGAACCCTTTTGAGCTCCAGGAAGCAGTTCCTGGAATGCTCTCCTATGGGAAATTATCTGTGCAGGTAGAGAAACAGCACAACAGGGAGTAGGCTGGATTAGAACTCTTCTTCCTGAGATGCTAGTTTTCTACTTGCGGGGAGTGGTTACAGGGTTTGGAATGGCATCTTCCACCTGGCAGCTTGAGGTGATCTAGTCTGTACTATAGGTCCCCCCCCATGTGCAGACAGAGCTCAAAAGAACCCTATTCAAGCATTCTTGTAATTGGGAAATTCCACAACATGTGATCGAGGGGCAGCAGAGAGGAGCTCACTAGCTCTGCTCTGTTCTTGTCTCCCTCTGTGATCTGAAGGGCAAGTGCCTGGAGAGGTGAGCCTGCTTCTGCTTTTGAAAGATCTGGGTGTTGTAGACCCCTGAATTTCCAGGAGTGCAGGAGGCTTCCTGCTTCAAACAGTTGCCCTTCAACATGTGGAGGGCAACAGGAAGAGAAGGCAGTGTGCTTGTCCATCCCCTGCCAAACATACACACACACATAAATTTTCCTTATTAGAACACCTGAATTTGGTTAGTGAGATGGGCAGCTAATCCTGACCAACTCACAGTTGTCATTGCATCCTTAATCAGATTATAACTTCATTGAATTTCAGTCCCTGTGAATGGTGCCTATCTCTGTCCTCACTAAAGACCCTGAAATACATTGTGTGACACACAAACCCCCCATCCATAAAATGCTTTGCAACCATCTCCTTGCCCCTGTAGATAACGGACTGCTTAATGCATTTTTTACCCGGTTTAGGCTATCGGCATCCCTCTCCAACCATCGTGGCAAGGACAGTCAGAATTCTACACACACTCCTCGCTCTGGTGAACAAACATAGGAACTGTGACAAGTTTGAGGTGAATACCCAGAGTGTGGCTTACCTTGCAGGTAAAAAAACCCAACTCTATTAGGCTTGTATCCAATCCAATTCTAGCATCCAATCTGACCGTTCTTCTCTTTGCTATTAACAAAATTTAAACAACAAAGGAGAGAGCCGGTGTGGTGCAGTGATTGTAGTGCTAGATTACAGCAGAATCCTCTCCCAGCCATGAAGTTCCCTGGGTGATTGGGGATCCCTTAGTCTGTCTCAGTCTAACCTATATTGGAGGGTTGTTGTGAGGATAAAGATGGATGGGGAGAGAAATGTGTGTACTGCTTTGAGCTCCTTGGAAGAACATACAATAAAGGAAGAACTACGTTGTGTGTGTCGTTTTCCCTTTCCCACCCCTGAAGAGCTGGCTTTTTAAAGGCTAAGCCTCTCCCAGCTCAATAGGATGGTTTCTGGAGTGTTTTCATCAGTACGGATCTGTAGAGCGACTCCTCATTTTATATTGCAAATTTGTTTGTTTGTTTTAAGCCAATCACTGAAGCTTTTTTCACTGTGTTTGATACTGGAATTTATATCCCGCTCTTCATCCCTAGACCTCAGTTAAAAAGTTTTTAAAATGTTGTATTGAATTTATATTCTGTGGAGCTCAATGCAGCATACATGGAGCTTCCCCAGCAGCCTCCCATCCAGGCACTGACCATACCCAGCCCTGCTTAGCTTCAGCAAGGAGGCTGCATCATGTGCCTATGGACTGTGCCCTGGGGCCCCCTGTGGAATTTGGGAACCTGTAAAAATGATGCCAAGCAAGCGCATTGGAGTGCATTGTGCTTATTTTCTGCAACTGATTCTGTTTCTGCCTGTCGTGGAGACTAGACAAGTGTCGTGTAAGGCACCAAAGTCCCATTTTGACACCACTGGGACTCTGCTCAACCTGAACCCCTTCTTCCGAGTACTTGCCAATGTGTTTTTGTAGCCTCCTTTTGGAGTCCTAAGGGCTGGATTCCTGCCTGCCCCACCTTGAAGGAGGCTTGGAATACTGAAGTCTTTATGCAATAGCAGCTTCTGGACCTGCACTGAGTAATAAGAGAGCAGCTACATCCTGCCTTGCTTTACATATCACGATGGTGCTGTTAGGCTTTGGGAGGTTCTGCGGCGAAGTATATACTTTGGACATCTGTTTCCTTCCTTTTATCATTTAAGCTTTACTCACTGTGTCCGAGGAGGTTCGAAGTCGGTGCAGCCTAAAGCATAGGAAGTCTCTCCTCCTGACAGACGTTTCGATGGAAAATGTTCCAATGGAGACATATCACATACATCACAGCGATGGCAGCTTCAGGTCAGGGGTCCTCCTAAATTTTTCATAGGATGGTGCATTTTAATTTGGGATCAAGGAGGTTGTCTGGGGAAGGACGTAGCTCACATGCTTTGCTTTCAAAGGCAAAGGAAACCTGCTTGAAGCCCTGCAGAGAAACTGCTGCCAGCCAGTGTAGACAGTATTGAGCTTCCTGTGTTCACAGCACAATTTAAAACGGACAGGCAACCTGTGGCCCTCCAGCTCCCCTTGACCCCAGCCCAGTGGTCAGGCATGATGGGAGTTGTGGTTCAGCATCATCTGGAGGGCCGCAGGTTGCCCATTGCTGATTTCAAGCCATAGATTCAAAATCTGCAAATGCAAAGTAGACAGGAAGGTAAGCGTATGATGCTTTAAGTTAAGGGCACATGATAGAGCAACGGCAGGAGGAAGGGAAGGGAAGACCATGTGGGAGTTGGTCCCAGCCATATTAATTGATGGTGCCTCATTGTCTCACCTCTTGCTTGGAGACAGGCAGCTGGAATGGCCGCTGACTCGCAGCTCTTACCAGTTTGGGGCCAAAACTTGAATTTCGGGGTGGGGCAGGGGAGAGCTGTAAACTGCGCACATGGCAGAGAGTGTTGCAAGAGAGTCGAGGGCTGGCTGCTTTTGAAGGAGGAGGGAGGGTTTGATGTCTGTCTTACTCTGCTCTTTTAACAATAAGCGGTGTGTTGTTTTCTGAACATTTGGTTTGTCCTCTCTTTCAGGACACTAAGGGAAAACCAGCCATGGTCTTCTCCCAAGGGCTCAGACAGACATCTCGCTGCCAGTTACCCAACAGTGGGGCAGATCAGCCCACGCACAAGGAAGTCCATGAGTTTGGATATGGGTCAGCCTTCTCAAGCCAACACTAAAAAGCTACTAGGTTAGTGGGGAGTTTCCCTCCTCTCTTTGTCACTAGGTTAGAGGCATGTGTGAGGAAGGCAGACCTGCAAACAACGCTGCTTGCCCGGAGGAGGATGGAGGCAGAAGCAGCCGCCGCCTGTGGCTCGGCCAAGGGGATGGCGGCGGCGGCAGGGTGCAGAGGCTGCCCGTGCCCGGCCAGGCGTCGGTGGCGGCGTCGGCGCTGCTGCAGCGGCTGCTCCTCCTGCGAGCAGTGAGCGGAGCGCAGCCACAGCGACGGCGGGGGGCGCGCGCGCTAGGGCGCAAGGCTGGCGGTGGCGGCGGGGAGCCCGGCGGAGGAAGGAACTTGTCCCTTCCCTCTGGACTCGCGCCCCCCCCAGATGTTGCGCCCGGTGCGGTCGGCACCCCTGGCACCCCCCACGCTACGCCACTGGACCTGCAGACCTGGTCCTAAGAGATCCTGGGCTGATCGCCTTTTTATTTTATCTCTTAGCTGGGGGAGGGTGGGGAATAAACATTTTTGGTTGTCGTCTGCCACTCAAGAAAATGTGTACCCTTTAAAGTAAGCTATCTCTTAGTTACTTGCCAGCATATCTTGGATGTACAACTAATTTTTTCAGCCACAAATACCAAAGCATTATTGTTCAGGCAGGATACAGAGTGGATGTGAGTGCATGCCGATTTACTGTTTTATTTCCTGATCTGTTTCCCACGCCCCACTCTTTGATTTTGATTTTTTAAAATATATATATATATAGGTACAAGAAAGAGTTTTGACCATTTGATGCCTGACACAAAAGCGCCTAAAAGACAAGAAATGGAATCTGGGATCACCACACCTCCCAAAATGAGACGGGTAGCAGAAAATTATGAAATGGGTAAGGAACAAAGCTATTGGACCCAGCTACTAGTTAACATGTCCTGGCAATATGAAGGATTGCAAATATAGCAGGGGAGTGGGGAACCCAGCTGATCTTAGGGCATTGATTATTTGCCTGGGGCCACATGGCAATCATGGTTGAGACGGGAACTGAAGCCTGGTCTCCCAGGTACAATATTGGCTTTCTCTCAAGTGAGACACACTTGCTCTCATACTAGTGATTTCCATCTGTTCTGATGGCACAATAAATAGATCTGTCCGTTCTTGCTTTCCTCATTAAATACGTTGCTCTCTTCCTACAGAAACTCAAAGGATATCGCCGCAGCAGCACCCTCATCTCCGGAAAGTATCAGTGTCAGAGTCCAATGTCCTCCTGGATGAAGAAGTCCTCACAGATCCCAAAATCCAAGCCCTGTTGCTGACCATCCTGGTACTTGCACTTTTAATCTCAGTTGTTTGCATTGTGTTTCCTCTAGCATGTTTTAGAAGCACAGTAGTCAAGGCAAGTAGCTCACCAGGACTTAGATGTTGACCTTTTTCTTTCTGTCCCCTCCCCCTCTTTTTTTTTTGGCAGGCAACACTAGTAAAATATACGGCAGATGAGTTTGACCAGAGAATCCTGTATGAGTATTTAGCAGAAGCCAGTGTGGTGTTCCCAAAGGTCTTTCCTGTTGTGTAAGTGTTCACATCTTCTCACATGTCTGCTTCCTGCTCGAAGGTTTTTAATGATGAAGTGATATACAAATTCTGCTAAATGAAAGGAGATTTACACTCATCTAATGGGGGTTCAAACCTTAGGAACTAGTCTACCAATAGAGGCTGGTCCATTGGGTTAAACAAGGCACTGCCCTACCAATTTCACTCTGTCCTCAGCCAGCCTCCATTTGCTTACCTTCTCATTTATAACCAGTCCAGGGCTGGTCCTCCTTAGGTCTCAGTGCTCAGCAAGGAGGAGGATTGCGACAAAACTATAATTAGTTGGATGTGCTTGTCATTGGATCTGGCTTTACCTACTGTTGGCCTCCAAACATTCGCTCTACGTGTCCCATTAGGCACCTGACCCCACTTTTTCCTGATATCTCTTTATCCTAGCTGAGTGGAATGATGAAAAAGACCCCATACAGTGAGGATAAATGGTAGATAACTCCCTACAGAGTTTCCATTCAAGGTTGATATTTGTTCATGGGATCAGCTCCACTTGCCAATGCATCTCTGGGAATGAATTCCCCAAGCCTAGAACCATAGAGATGTGCAGCTTGCTGTGTATACTGTTTAAGAGCAGGCTCGTAGTTGGACAGCTATTACAGTCAAAATGAACTGGAGCCAGCTGTCGTCAGCTGTTAGGAAGTGCATGTTTATCTTGAGTTTAGCTGCCATGCCTGTGCACCCTCAAAAATTGTCGTTTGGAAAGGTACTGATAATGCTCTGTTATAGATCCCTAGCTAGCCTTATAGAAATACGGTTCCCTTGCAAAAAGGAACAACTGTTGATGCCTGTCTGTCTGTAATGCACATGTGCCCTCCATTGCAAGCCACATGTTGTTAGGATAGATTTGTTGGCTAAAATAGGCTGTACAGTCCACCTTGCTCATTGTGATGAAAACTTAACAACTGATAAACTGACATGGTGTGTTTTATTGCCTAGGCACAATTTATTGGACTTCAAGATAAATACCCTGTTGTCGCAGTGTCAGGATCCCAATTTATTGAATCCAATTCATGGCATTGTGCAGAGCGTGGTTTACCATGAGGAATCTCCGCCACAGTACCAAACTTCTTATCTACAAAGTAGGTATCTTGCAGCTCCTTTGAAAAAAGGTCTCAGATGCTCAGGTAAAGAATAAAGGCTAACATTTAAACCCCACAAGCATGGTTGCCTTTAATTCTATATACTTTGCTTTTCTCCAAAAGACAAATTGGATTGCCTTTCAACAGAAAACTGTTAACAAAGTGGCTTACCATTTTAAAATGACAAAGTGTTGCTTCTGTGGGCGTGTGTCCCATCAAACCCCGCTCCCCAAGTGCATCTGTTCCCTCCCTTCGGAGACAAAAGCCTGGAATCTGGTCTGTTTCATTACTAGTTGCCAGGGAACCAGAAGAGAAGCTTGACCGCACAAGCTGTATTGTATATTCCATCCTTTACGCCAGAAAAGGTCCTGCTCCTGGTAGATGCCATCCTTTCTTTCCTGAAGGAAGGCACCAAGAGCAGAGTTTCACCAGTGGATCATTTTGAGGCCTTGGTGTTTCATTCAGGAGAAGGTCTTTCCTGGGAGTAGCAGTGCTCAAAGCTCCTTCCCTAACCACCCTCAGCTGCATTTGCTTTTGCTTTTGCAGACACTTGGGTGTCACTTGGTAGCTCTCAGTCAGAGATGAGGAACCTGTGGCCCTCTAGATCTTCTTAGATTCAAAGTCAGCCAGCACAGCCAGTGGTCGGCTATGATTAGAGCTGTAATTCAAGAATACCTGGAGGTTCCCAATCCCTAAGAACATAAGACGGAGCCTGCTGGATTAAGCCAGTGGCCCATCCAGTCCAATATCTGGTTTTCACAGTGGCCAGCCAGATGCCTGTGGGAAACCAGGAGGCGCAACAGTGCTCTTTCCATTTGTGAGTCCCAGCAACTAGTATTTAGCGATGTATTGCCTCCAGCAGTAGAGGCAGAACCATTGTGACTAGGAGCCATTGATAGCCTTATCTTCTAAGGACTGAGCAGATTGAACAAATAATAGTGGGTCCAGTGGTCAAGAAGGCGGTCTCTGCACGTGCTGTAGAGGGAAGTGAGGGGCGGATGGGGGTTTGTCAACCAGGTAAGGTAACCCATCTAGGAGAAGGAACACTCTGGTCTTCAACACCCGCTGCCTTGTAGGATGTCTTCGGGAGAAGAAAAGTCTAAGGAGTAAACCCTACACAGATTTGGAGTCCCTAAAACGGTTGGATGGCACCTTGCATACCTCCTTCCGGCAGCTCCTGCAGTCAAGCTGCTGCCAAACCTATTGCTCTGCTTTCCTTTGGACCACATCAGCGAGGCCAAGAGAGGGGTCTTGTCATCTAGGCAGCTCAGGACCTCCATACACTCTGTCCAGGCTTGCACCCCAGGGAGGTCACCTTGGTGCTGCTAATGCAGTGGTTTGACTTCACCCCAGGAAGTGCACTCCATTGTCTGTCTCTCTCTTTTAAAGCTATCCAAGCTGGGAGCTATCACTCCTCATTCTTTGTTCATCATTTCTTAAGAAGCTCTGAAAGACCACCTTAGATTCTTTAGGACGATTGCTGAAGATACATCTTCTTCTCCTCCCGTTTTCCCTTGAGAGACAGGAAAATGTGTTTAAATGGCTTTTATGCCGCACTGTTGCATTTTATTATTTTAAAGGAAGCAGCCCCGAGCAACGGATTATTTTATTGTGTACTACATCAGATGCTAATATGCGAGTGATAGGAGAATATTATCAAAACAATGGGCTGTATCCAATGCACTCCATACTCAGAGCAGACCCTTTGGAATTAACGGACCTGTTAGTGGCAATAAATGGGTCAACAGTGGGGCAATTAAAATGTTAAATGTTGTACTACACTGATTTGGGCTCATGTGTACGACATCTCTTGGTTTTTCCACACTGAATTACTTGGGGGCGAAATGTGTGAATGGATACACTTGCAAAGCAAGTGCATTTGAGGGGAAATGAAAGTGTGTGCAAAAGGAAACAGAAAATATAACAAGATACTCTACCAATAAATCTAGCACGTAATAGTCTCTTTTGTAGCCTAAAAGCAATGTGTTCTGTCATATGACAGAGAAATGGTAACATATTTCCTAGCCACTGCTTGACTGACAGTTACTACTGGAGGAAACAAAATGTCACCCACATTAGATACAAAAGTTTGGGAGAAGGTTGAAAGATGTATCAGTTCAACGAAATACAGTACAGGAGAATGTTAAACCACAACTATAATTGGGAAATTTGTAAAAATGTTCTGTTTTTCTATTTATCTGCATTTTTGTTTCTACGGTTAAAAAAACCAAAAGTTGAATATTTTGTCATTACTTCTGTTTTGTATTTGTTCTTGTATCTACTGTTACAGTTTTCTGAGAATTTAAAAAGTGTTGTTTTTTTCTATTAAAAAAATATTATTTGTGGTTTCTTCAGATGGCCCATTGAACATCACAGGATGCTGATGTTGTCAAGTGATGTTTATGCATTTGCAAACATTTGCTTTTGATGAGCAAAGTATGAGGAAGTTTTTGCAAATGTCCTTCTTTGCATCTTACCTTATCTTTCTTACTAGGGCGCACATTCATGCTTCTTTTTTTGCTGGTTGCAGGTTTTGGATTTAATGGCCTCTGGAGGTTTGCGGGACCATTTTCTAAGGTGAGCAGTTGGGGCCTCTTTCAGCTGAAACCTTACATGGCACTTGTAGTAATGCTTGAGTGGACAATTGAAGTCCCTACTGGAGGTTAATAAAACTTGCACTCACTTTTTTGTTGTTGGTTAATTGATTTATTTATCCCCCCCCCATGGGCTAAATAGGCTAAGTAGTTGTTCATGACTTATTAGTCAGCAGCTTTAAAAAAATGTATTGCCTCCTGGATGATGTCCCAACCCTTTGAGAGTAGACCCTCTTCTCCTGGGCAGCAGACAGGGCCAGTCAAGAGGATTCCTTCCAGGAGAGGAGCCGTCGTGCCCTCCTGGGCTGGCCCTTTCTGCTGGCAGTGCCACTGGACTTTTTGGTGAGATCCCTGAGGCTTATAACTTCAAAACATTTAAAAACTTTTTGGGTTTGCTTTGTGCAGCTTCTCCATTGGCCTCCCTGCCCCATCTAGCTGGAGGCACAAGGAGGAGAAACAGCACTCCACCAGTTTTTCCCTTCTGAATGTGTAGGACCTGTTCATTGGTGGGAACCACACATCCCAGTAACAGTGGGGCAGCAGGAAGCTTCTTCAGACACACACACCTGTGGCCCTAGATTGTAAGCCAAACCCCCCCCCCCAGTGAGAACTAGCAGGTAGAGATGGAGCTGATCTGTTTCTCATTTTTTCCAGCAAACACAAATCCCAGACTATGCTGAGCTCATAGTAAAGTTCCTTGATGCCTTGATCGACACCTACTTACCTGGGATTGATGAGGAAACCAGCGAGGAATCCCTGCTGACGCCAACTTCTCCTTACCCTCCTGCCGTGCAGAGTCAGCTTAGTATTACAGCAAACCTAAACCTCTCCAATTCCATGACCTCACTTGCAACTTCCCAGCATTCCCCAGGTCAGTTCGCCATGCTTTTCCATTGCTTACGTCAAGGCGGAAGGATTTGTTAAAACACCTTTGAGGGCACTGCTCCCTTTTTTGGGTGCCGGGCTCTTTCACTGGGGCAGCTTATCATCACCCCTTGTTGAGCCTCAAGGCTCTGTTCTTCATTAGACTTATTCTCAGAGACATTTCTTGCACTGAATTTGTGGGGGGCAGAGGTGGGGTGAATTTCCGCTCACCTGTTCCTGACGTTGGCACAAATCGAGATGAGATAATGCATGCAATGAAGTAGTCCAGCTTCATGGACAACAACATGGGATCAGATCTTATCTCAGCCTGGTGGCTTCCTAACTGCTTTGGATAAAGCATACTCAGACTTGGTTTGTCCCCAAATGGCAGTGTTGATACTAATGTACAAGTGCAGAATTTGTTCTTGGGGGCAGAATGAAATGTCCCGAGAAGCTTAAAAATAAACACCCTTTGGGTTCAGTTGCTAGGGTACATAGGAAGCTTCCCTAAACTGTATCATGCTATTAGTCCATCTAACTTAGCATTGTCTCAACACTGACTGGCAGTGGCTCGTCAAGGTTTTGACAGCAGATATATATGCAGCCCCACCTCCAGATGCCACTGAGAATTGAACCAGGGACCTGTTGCATGCAAAGCGGGTGCTCTGCTACTGAGCTAGAGCCCTTCCCCACGTTACCTAGAGGCAAACATGCATTTGCCGGAATCTGCACTCTTGCTTTCATTCATAGCTCTTTGGTGAGCAAACCTCTCTGCAACTGTGAGTTTGCTACGTTGACTTGTTAGGTCTGCGCTTAAAAACATCTTGGGCATATAAGTAAAAAACAAACAAACCCCAAACACACACATCTCTACTGGATCAGGCTACAGGTTTCATCTAGTCCAACATCTTGCTTCCCATAGCGACTAGCCAGATGCCTCTGGGAAACCAACAAGCAGGACATCATAGGAAGATCCCTCTGCCACCCTGTTCTTTGCTCCCTAGCATCTGATACTCAGAGAGACATTGTTTCTTATCGAGGCCCTGGGAACTGCTGTTCTCCATGAATTTGCCTAATTCCCCTTTAAAGCTATGTAAGCTTTTGACCATCCTCACTATACCTTGTGGCAGTGCCCCAGCCTTTGAAAGTCCTTGCCGCTGCTATAAAGCTATAAAACTAGGTCTGGAGGGGTGGGGTAGGGGCTCATTCTTTCCTCTGATAAGCTTTCTGGGGCTGATGGGAGTTGTATTTCAGCAACCTCTGGTGAGCCAAAGATTCCCCGCCCTGGGTGTAAAGCAATGCTGATGGGTGGGATGCGACAGTAAGGGGAACCTTTGAAAGGTACCAGAGTCAGACTGTTGCATTAGTAATGGAAATGGAAGTAGTAAGTACAAGCTCCCATTTTGTCCCGTAACATGCAATGTAGCTGTGTGAGGTTGCCTCCGCTCCATAGAGGCCTAGATATATATCCATTCCTAAGCAATGTATCTTGGTTTGCTAATACACATTTTAAAAAGATGCAGAAATGGATTTGCGAAAGTCCCCGGCTCATTTTAAGATGTATTGCCATCTATTGTATCCTGCAAATCTGTCCTTCCTTCTGTAGCTGAGAAGGCTCCAGGCCCCAAGAGCTTGGTCAGGAAGACTTTTTGCCTCCCTAGGCTAAAGAACAAGGGAAGCAGCCCTTTACAAAGCCAGATCCTTAGTCCATCTAGCTCAGTGTTGCTGATCTATGACTGCAGTAAGTAAGGCTAATGGCCAGGGGTGATGGGAGCTGTAGTTCAGCCAAAGGTTCCCCCACACCTTCTGTGGACAAATCTAGTATTTTTACAGTATTACAAGTGTCTGAAAAGCAGACGTTTGAAAACTCTATGTGACCGGGACGGGGGGTGGAGAGAAATGGGAATTCATTTTTTGTACTCCTGGCAAGCTATTTAACTGAAAGTGAGGTGCTAGGGGCTGTGGCTAACATGATATCCTACACGTCTCTAGGTTAGAGCCCCCACGTCTATCTCCCCCCCCCCAGGTATTCATATGGAGGGCTCCAGAAATGCTTTCTGACTTGGACCAGTGCTACCGAAAGGGGTCTTTCAACCCTAATCCTTTCCTGGCTTTTGTAGCTATGCCTTAGCTTCTTATATCCAAACACAGTTTTCTTGAATTGGGAAGTGTTTTGTTGTCCTGTGCTAAGAGTCACGTCCTTAGCAATGAGCAAAGAGTAACCACATAATCCTGTTCTTGCTGCTGCTTTCACTGTCTCCCACCTGAAACTAGGAGGAGGAACGTGTACCGTAAGCTAGCGTGGAATTGTTAAGAAACAGACCTCCCTGGCTCTAGGTCATTGTGTGCCCTGTGGGTCATAGAACTGTTGAAAAGCAGCTCTTGCCGTCCAAAGGGGGGGGGAACCAAAAACTTTTTCAGCCTGGGGCAGGTGGGACACCTGTGTTCAGTTCCTAAGACCCCATGTGCTAATTAAGGCTTCCCACCCATGAATGCTTCTTCAGCTGTGTTCCTGACCTGTAGGGCAGCCACCCTCCAGTTCTGATTTTGCACAGCAGGTTGTGACATTGGCTATATCTGCACTACACATATAAAGCCGTCTCCTACCACTTTGAACAGTCATGGATTCCCCCCAAAGCGCCCTGGGAAGTGTAGTTTGTTAAGGGTGAAGAGAGTTGTGAGGGAAACCCTGTTCCCTCACATAGCTACTATTTCCAGTGTTCCCTAGGAAGAGAGAAATATTGGTAAATGACTGAGAATTGCAGCTGTACTGTCAGGGGTGGTGAGAGACTTAGTTCAACAATATTTCAAATGTGTTGGGTTTTTTTTTAAAAAAAAACAACTTTGGTTTTGGGGGTGTTTTTTTCTCCTTGATTGCCACCCTGGGCTCTTTTGGGAGGAAGGGTGGGATAAAATCAACATATAAATAAATTTATTTGATGGTGAAATAAAAAATTACGTAAGGCTTTATTTTAAAAGATATTTAAGGACGGAGTGAAAATCAGTTCATTAATTAATCTGGAGAGATGCAGGTTTCCCTTCCCTGTCCATAATCACTGTCCTGTAAATGTTTTCTGTCTGTCTTCCAATCATGAATGTTGATCGCTCATCTTTTCTCTTTCATTCTGTGTCTGTGAAGCTTCTCTGCCTTGCTCTAAATCTGCAGTTTTCATGCAACTTCCTCATCCAGGTACTCTCTCTAATTTTCATTCTACTTGCACGAGCTACTGCTTTGATCTGTGCCAGAGCTGGGGCTCATGACAGGAAGAGGAGCTTTATTTTTATTTTGCAGAGATCCCAAAACCTAGGACAGAATAGGGGCAGGGAGTGGGCCTTTAGCGCGCGACTGTAGTGCTTCTGCTGCTGGGCATTTTGGGAGGCTGGGTGTTCCAGGGCACAGAGCAGTGAATTTGGACCTGTGTTGAAATCCTGCATCAACCCTAGGATTCTTGGCTGGGTTGGAAAATGGAAATATTAATAATCTCTCAACGCACTTTGCATACTAATGGTGCTGTAGAGACGACAGTTATGTGCCCAACTACATTTTGTAAGGGCATAAGAAAAGCACCCTGCTGGATCCAGCACCTTTTCCCCTGTGTTGGCACGGCTAAGTGTCTCCCAGCAAACCCATCAGGATGGTATGAAGGAAAAAAACCCTTCTCCCATTGTTTATTGCCCCCCCCCATGTTCTATTTATCTGCCATAGATAATAATAGCCACTGATAAACCTCCGCAAATTTGCCTTTTCCCTTTTTATGTCTGCCAGCCACCATTGCCACATTTTGTAACTTTGCTCTCAAAGAATTGTCCTTTTAGCAGCAAAATGGATGGAGCCGTCAGGTGAGAATCTCCTCTGCAATGGCCCCGACCATATAGAAAAGTGCTTAGAGTTCCCCCTTTAGCGCAAACCCGTTAAACATTCCTCACACGTTTAATCTACGAAGCTGCATTTTACTGACATTGTTACTGAGAGACGTAATTTGTTTCTTTCAGAAGTGGCAAGATAGCTTTGTAAAAAACACACCACACACACCAAAGTCGACAGTAAAACGTGAAGCGGCACTCCTAGTGGTTATATATCGCAGCACATCTGCCTCTCATGCTTCTCTGCCTGGAAGAAGGAACATTGAAGAGTAATAGGAAACTAGTTCCTTTCGACACTTCCCATTGTGTAGGTGTTTCCACGTTGTGTGGTTTTTATGTGTTGCTGAGAAACAGAAAAATGAAATAACCCACAGAAACTGTGAGCTTAACAAAACCAAGTCTAATTAGACATGTCTGCTGTTGTATACTTTGAAGTCTAAATTGGTTGGACATGTATCACACGGCACATTTTTGTCACGAATGAGTTACTAGGTCAATTCAGGGTTTCTTAGTTGTTTCGCTAAACCACCCCTTAGCAAAAACCCTCAAGTTTTGTCCAAAAAGGCTGATTCACACGATACAAAAGGGCCAGCATGTTTTGATTAAATAAATAAATACCTTGAGAATCAAGGTGGTTAAATTCCTGTTAGTATTTTTACTTGCATTCTCACTCCATAGGGCTGAGGGGTACAACATAGGTGGTCCCTCCCATTTTATCCTCACAACCGTCCTGTGGGGTAGGCTGGATTGAGAGAGAGACTGGCCCAGTATCACCTAATGAGTTTTTGTGGCAAATGGGAGGATTCAAACCCAGTGCTTCTTAGTCTAAGCTCAGCATTCTGACTACTGTACATCGCTGGCTGCCTTCCCACCACCCTTCTGAGTAATACCCCTCCCCACCTTCTCACTATATAGAAGGATCTGGCAACTTCTGTTTCAGTGTATCTGAAGAAGTGTGCATGCACACGAAAGCTCATACCAAGAACTAACTTAGTTGGTCTTTAAGGTGCTACTGGAAGGAATTTTTTTTTGGTTTTGATTATTGGTGAAATGACACTCTCAAGATCCTCTCTCTTCTTCTCCTTCTGCCCTGTGCATTTCAGTGTTCCCCAGGTCACACCTTGCAAAACTTGCATTACTGCC